GAGGCAGCGTTTGTGTGCTGTGAAGACCAGCAGTTGCCTTTCGGTGACAGGAGAACAGGCTAAGGACTCCCTTTTTATCTGCCTCGCTTCCTGGGGACGAGTGGCATCCCAGCCCTCGGTTGGATTTGAACCGGGCTTAGAGAGATACAGGACTGTATGTTATAAGGGTCCCCTGCCCCGTGGTGAAGGGCCGCCCCCGCCCCATGATGGAGGCAGCGCCTTTGTGCTGTGAAGACCAGCAGTTGCCTTTCGGTGACAGGAGAACAGGCTAAGGACTCCCTTTTTATCTGCCGCTTCCTGGGGGGTGAAGGGCCCCCCCGCCCCGTGGTGAAGGGCCCCCTGGCCCCGTGATGGAGGGTCCCCCCACCCCGTGGTAAGGGTCCCCTGCCCCGTGGTGAAGGGCCGCCCCCGCCCCATGATGGAGGCAGCGCCTTTGTGCTGTGAAGACCAGCAGTTGCCTTTCGGTGACAGGAGAACAGGCTAAGGACTCCCTTTTTATCTGCCTCGCTTCCTGGGGACGAGTGGCATCCCAGCCCTCGGTTGGATTTGAACCGAAGGCTTAGAGATACAGGACTGTATGATTTTTCTAAAGACAGTCACCCATACATTTCAAGACCTGAGCACCTTCCTCCTGGTGGTGGGAGCAGAAGTGACACGGTGTCTCTGGAAGACCGCTGGCAGTGTGAATCGGGTGTCTTAACGGTGTGCACTCTTCCATCTAGAATTCTGTTTAAAAAGTTACCTTAAAGAAATAGAGCTCAACATGAAGTTTTTTGTACAAGGATGATCATCATAATGTCGTTCATAACTTCAGAGAACGGGGGTGACGCGAATGTTCAGCACTCGAGGACTGAGTCCGTAAACCACACAGGGCGATGGAATACTACGCAGCCACTGTAAAGGTCTCGCCTGGCGGTGTGGCCCAGAAACCAAGAGTTCACCAGTTCGATTCCCGGTCAGGGCACATGCCCCGGTTGTGGGCTCGGTCCCCAGTGCAGGAGGCAGCTGATTGGTGATGTTTTTCTCTGTCTCTCTCCTTTCCTCTGTCTCTAAAAGCCAATAAAAAATATTTTTACAAAAGGTCAGATCTGGAAGGAACCTTTACTGACACATGAGGTGCTTGTGCAGTAAGTGACTAGGGGTTGGGAATGATACATGAAATACGACTCACACTTTTAAAAACATGCACTGTGCTCCCTATTGCAGACCCCAGTCACGTGTCTTAGGAAGAAGATGGAATGGGTAGATAACAAAGCGTTACTCTAGGTCAGTGACGGCGAACCTATGACACACGTGTCAGAGGTGACACACAAACTCATTTTTTTGGTTGATTTTTCTTTGTTAAATGGCACTTAAATATATAAAATAAATATCAAAAATATAAGTCTTTGTTACACTATGGTTGCAAATATCAAAAAATGTATATATGTGACATGGCACCAGAGTTAAGATAGGGTTTTTCAAAATGCTGACACGCGAGCTCAAAAGGTTCGCCATCACTGCTCTAGGTAATAGGATTCCGGGTAAGTTTTTACCCGTTTTGCATGTTTAGTTCTTACCTTTCTGTCTGTTGAATCTATTCCTTTTGTTACGAGAAAAGTGTGAGTGCAAAAGTGAGACCCACCTCATGTCAAAGGAACATGTCTGCAGGGCCTCCTCTACCTGCTCCTCCCGCAGGCTTCGGCACCATGCTGTCCTCCGTGGCCCTCCTCTCCATCCTCGTCTTCGTCCCCTCGGCGGTGGTGGTGGCTCTGCTGCTGGTGAGAATGGTGAGGAAGTCTGCGGGGCTGAGGAAGAGGAGCAAGTCCGGCTACAAGAAGTCGTCCATCGAGGTTTCAGATGAGTAAGTGCAGCCGGAGCCCCGAGCGGTGAACCCTAACCCTCTCAGATCCCTGCCTTGTGGACGGTGCCCGGCCCCTGCACCCTTACTTTTCTTACTCCCAGCTAAGCTTAGTTCTGCTGGTGAAATGTCCTTTTTTTTCTTTTTAATTACTTTTTATTGTTGATAGTATTACAGCTATCTCCCCCCACCCCATTGGGCCATGCATTGAAGTACGTAAGTCCTCGGGTTTGTCTCTTCTCGCCCCCCAACATCGAGGTGCCCGTTGTTCCAGGCCTCCGGCTTCGGGTCTTGTTTGGTTGGTCAGGTCCTTTTGTTCATGAGGTTCCGCAAGCGGTGAGACCACGGGCCGCTGGTCTTCTCGGTTTGGCTTATGGACTCTCCTCTTGAAGAGGCCAGTTCTGGGGAGCAGTACTGGACGGGAGGCTGGAAGTGAAACCTGGGGGCAGATCGGGGAAAGATGGGGGTGACAGCAGGGACGAGCTTCCTGCTCTGGAAACCGGACGATGGGTCCTTTGGTTCTGAACTTAAATTGTGAAGTAGATGCCTCGTTCCTTCAGAATCAGCAGGATTCCCACAGCCGCCGTGCTCCCGGCCACTTCCCATGCGCTCCGCGTTCAGCCACAGCAAGCTTCTGTCTTCTCTCAGCAAGCTGCACTCCGGCCCCGTCTCCCGCCACACCCTCCTCCCTCCCCTGGGTCCCCTCCTCCTTTCCCTCTTTTGCTGGAACACTCTTCCTTCCCTCCAAGGCCCAGTGGAAACGTCCCTTCTCTTGAGTTTTCCCGAGTCTCAGGGAGGAGTCACTCCTCCTCTTTGCTGCACAGCAGTTACCTCAGCCTGTTCAAACCCTGGTGGCCTTGCATGAGCGCAGCTTCTACGGCTCAGCAGGCCTCTCACGCCAGGAGGCGGGACACTCCCAGGGGCTGTGCTTTAGCGATGGCCTTGTCCCCACCCAGCACGAGGCCTCAGGCATGCCTGGTGCCTGTACATTTCTACAGGAGTGGCTGTTACCAGCTCCCATTTATTGAGCACTTACTATGTGCCAGGCACTGTGGTATGTGTTTGATGTGTATTTATTTTTTTTTTACTCCTAACCACTGTGCTTTAAGCATAGAGGTAATATTTGCATTTTAGTATTTTTATTTTTTAAAGCCAATAATTTTAAAAAATACATCTTTAAAATTGTTTTCAGAGAGAAAGGGAGCGGGAGAGGGAGAGATAGAAACATCAATGATGAGAGAGAATCATGTATCAGCTGCCTTCTGAATGCCTCGCACTGGGGATGGAGCCCACAATGCATGCATGTGCCCTGACAGGGAATCAAACCATGACCTTCTAGTTCATAGGTCGACGCTCAACCCTTGAGCCACGCCGGCCGGGCTAATATCTGCATTTTATAGATGAGGAAACAGTGCCGGAGCTGAAGTCCCCTGCCAGGCACCCTGCCGAAGATGGCAGAGCCGGGTCTGACAGCAGAGCTGTGGACTTCAGTGCCGGCTGTGCCGTGCGGAGCCAGTGATGGTTTGGGGGGCGGGGGGGGTCCTGTTTTGCAGCACTGACCAGGAGGAGGACGACTGCATGGCGAGGCTCTGCGTCCGCTGTGCCGAGTGCTTGGTAAGCCACGCCCTTCTGTGCCCTGTTCCGGGGTCGCTTCTTGCTCATTTACGGGGACCCTTTGCCTTCGGTGGCCGCAGAGGGTCGTGCCGGTAGGTCCGGAGCATGGTGGCAACGGAGGTCTGTTAGGGTTCAGGGCACTCCCTCAGCTCAAACAGTTGTTTTTGTCTTCTGTCTCCTGGGCACAGAGTGGGGGCTTTGGACTGGGGTGGGGACTCCGTGGCGCAGTCTCCGCTGGGTGACAGGGGACCTGCTGATGGAGGGTGTCTGCCCTGCGCTCACTCTAGGAGACTTCGACCGGCTGCATCCAGAGCCTGGAATCAAACGTTTCTGCAGACCCTTGGGTTTTTCCTTCATTACATGGCTTTCATTGCATCTTTTTTTTTAAAATATATTTTATTGATTTTTTACAGAGAGAAAGGGAGAGAGATAGAGTCAGAAACATCGATGAGAGAGAAACATCGACCAGCTGCCTCCTGCACACCTCCTACTGGGGATGTGCCCACAACCCAGGCACATGCCCTTGACCGGAATCGAACCTGGGACCTTTCAGTCTGCAGGCCGATGCTCTATCCACTGAGCCAAACTGGTTTTGGCTCATTGCATCTTTTTTTAAAAAATATATTTTTATTGATTTCAGAGAGGAAGGGAGAGGGAGAGATAGAAACATCAATGATGAGAGAGAATCATTGATTGGCTGCCTCCTGCATGCTGCAAAGGGAGTGAGGAGGTGGTTTTGGAGGTTTGGGGGAGGGGAAGGTATGCGCGGTCATCTAGGAGAACAGGAGAATGAATGGCTTGCAGAAGTGTGGTGTGCCGGGGAGCGCCAGATGGCCCGCGTGAGGTTCAGAGCAGTGAGTACAAGTTGGAATATAGGCGCTTAGCTTACCAAGAGCCAGGCAGTGTTCAGTGAGTTACAGACATTGTCTCATGCAGTTTTCGGAGCTGTGCTATGTGGTGTCAGTATTTTTATTATCCCCATTTTACAGATGAGGAGACTGAGGCTTAGAGAAGTTAAAGAGTGTGACTCAAGGTCACCCAGCCAGCAAGGGATTGAAACTCAGAGAGAGCCTGACTCCTGGCCTAAACGCCAGACCACAGCTCTGCATGTTCTGCAGCTTCCGGGCGCCTTCCTATGAGTGCCGAGGTTTTAAAAGTATTCACCGAGGAAGAGGGAACGCTTAGGGTTTCAAAGCAGAGATTCGCCATGAGACCATATAGGGGGATTGAGCCAGTGCCACCTCATGTTGGTGTTGCCCCAAACTGGGTTCCTTTGGGGGGTCCTAATGTGTGGCCATTGGCTAAATTCTGACTCTAATTATACTTCCCGTGCTCACCACAGCCGCTGCTCTTTCCTCTCCAGGACTCGGACTACGAAGACACGTACTGAGGGAAGTTTGCAGGACGTCAGAACAATCACCGAGTCACTGACAAGTCGTCCCCAGCACGGAAGCCCTCGGAGGAGTGGAGCCGCGGGACAGCCGGGACGGAGGGCTCTGGAACCCACCAGTAAAGACTTTAGGAACCAGTTACTGATTGGCGATTTCTTGTTGTATTTATGAGCTGCTCAGAAACTTGCAGAAGAGACTCCTAAGGACCCCTTTAGTCACGCATCCTCTAATCGAATGAAGGACCCTTTTCCTGAGGAGAGGGACTTTAATTCGCCGTGCTCTTGATGTATTACGCCTTCTCTTCCCGTTATTTGAGGGAGGGCCCTACCTGTTAGCCACACTGCCGATGCCAGAGCCTTTTATTTGGAAGGAAATGGAGCTCGGGGTTCCTGATGAGCTGGCAGCTGGGACGCGTTTGGGATAAGCGTTCTCTGGTTTTGCCCCGGGAACAGTTTCAGCTGTGAGTGAGCACACGGCCCGCCCTCGCCGCTCAGCGACGCATCGGCAGTTACGTGGGCGACGTGGCGTGGACGGCATCCGTCTCCCTGGTGGTCGGACCAGGAGCCACGCTCTGACCCGGCTTCCCAGCGAAGTAAAGGGACAGGGAGGCGAGGCAGAGGGAGGCCTTCCTTTTGTCCTGCCGGGCGCAGTTTGTCATTCACTCTCCTACCGCTGGCTTCCTTCTGGACTTTTAAGATCCGAGGCAAGAAAGACCCTTCAGCAGATTCTGCGGGACTGTATAGAGTCATTTTACCGGTTATTTACAATGAAATATTCTTTTAACCCATGTTATCCTTCAGAACGTCTTTGATTTCTAAAATGCACCAAGTCTGTTGGTCTGTAACGTGCGAGACAGGGAAGTGGTGTTGTGCATAATCGACACTCCCCCTTCTGGTCTCACGAAACCTTTCACCAGCGGCCCCCACTTCCTGCAGATGCCGCCTGGGGCCTGGGGTTTCTCTAAGCCGTTAGGGAGTGTGCGGCCGTCCGGAAGGACAGCAGGCAGCCCCTGGCGCCAGAGCGATGGGTTCACGTCTGGGTTCGGACAGCGAAACAATGCTCCTCCCATCTTCGTTTCCCAGGGCGGTCCCTCAATGGGCCTCCCAGGGGGTGGGAGGTGTCCCTAGGACGGCACCGCACACGGGACGTCATGAAAGCCACCTTTACAGTTTTTGCCCAGATCTGGTTATAAACTGTGGGTTGTTGGCTCTGCCTCTGGGACTTGCCCCGCCCTCTTTTGCTATCCTGGTCCACAGAGGAGAGTCTGGTTGGTTCATAGACATCACGATGGACCCTGGTCGGGCGAGGAGGTCCAAGTGGCAAGGCCGGGTTCGCAGTTTACATTTCCAGCGGTGACACCTCCATCTGGGCCTGCTTGGTGGGGCGGTGGTTGTCAGAGGCCGCTCATGGAGAGGAGAGCAGTGTGAGCAGTAAGAAGTCACGGGGCCACGGGGGGACTGCCAGATAGAGCTCTCACGGCGAGGCGGCCTTTCTGTGGGTCCTCGTGTCTCCCACAGCGAGCTGCTGTGACGGGAGCCCAGACAAGTCCACGTCCCGTTGAAGGAGGATCCTGTTTTCGCCGCGTTTGCTTGTCATTTCCTTCGGGCCTGTGTGGAGGACAGGCCCGTGTGATATGTCTGTCACCTTAGACAGAAGGCCCTGCGGGTTCCTCAGTCATGTTGTTTGTGGCCTTCATTGTGGTTTGAACCAGTTCCTTCCTCCAGAAATGAACAACAGCGCCCTTCACGGGGGGAGCAAGCTGGGGGTTCAGTCTGCTGCCTGGGCCTGTGCTCGCCTCACAGCACGGCCGCCAGCTTCCTCCTCCCCAGGGGCAGGCACAGCTCCCCTCACAGGAGCAGAGCAGCTGGACAGCGGCTTCCCCAGGTGGAAGGAGGGAAAGGGCTGGTTTTACCGCGGCTCTGACCTGGCCTGGGTGCAGGTCTCCCTCTTTTTCTTCCCGATGCCCCTGAGGTTTTGTCGCACTAGAAACCAGGCCGGGCGAGAAGAGGAATGGAATGCTGCCGTCTGCAGGGGCTGGCGGCCTTCAGAAGGCCCTGGCCGACGAAGCCTTTCTGTGCGGTTACGTGACCTCAGGAGTTTTGCGCGTTGACCCCTTGATTCCATCAGAGTGTGAGCTCACACAGGCCTGTGGCCAGCGGCTTCTTGGGAAGCAGCTCATCTCTGCCCGGGGCTCCGAGGGGCACGTTCCTGCCTTGAAAACTGGGGGCCACCTCCCTAGTCGGCAGGTTCTGGGTGTCACTCCGTTAGGGTCCCAGGGGCGCCGTGGAGAGAGCCACGGGGCGGGTCCAGGCTGCCATCTTGTCGCACCGCGTGCGCCTTCGCAGCAGAAGAGGCCGCTCCACCCGTGACCCGCGCTGCGCTGTTGGACGGAACTGCCATTTCCTTGCGGTTTTTGTTTCTGTGTTGGTAGGAGGGTGTGCCGGGTGCGCAGACACCGGAGCCTTGATCTCTCTGCCACATCAGAGCCAATGACCGTCTCGGCACTTTCTGGTGCGTATTGACATGTGAGAGGAGAACTGCCGTAGGAAAGGGGCAGGCTTGTGGTTTCAGCAGCGAGCAGCGGCTCCTGAGCGGCTCTCCGGCGAGGCCTGCGCGGACAGAGCAGCGAGGCCCGCTCCTGGGGCTGGAGCGGCTGCTAAGGTTCAGGGATTTTTAAATCCTCGGTCCCAGTGTTGGTGGCGGGCAGCGGCCATGCGGGCGCAGTAGGGACGGGCTGGCTCCCAGCGCCGCTGTGCGGACCGGGGCAGAGTCCTGGACAAGAGCAAGCGGCACCGGCGCGGTGCGAAGTGCGGTGGGAGAAGGCCTGCGCGTGGGAACACTGATTGGGAAGCGGTGATTTAAAAGCAAAAGATTCCTTGAAGCCAAGAAGCCTTGAGCTCTTATCTGGGGGGTGCAGGTCACCCCCGGGCTTCTGGGGGGTGCGTGCAGGCAGGGGAAAGGCAGGTGGGTGGTGAGCGGGGCACTGGGTCGAGGGAGGAATCAGAGAGGTGGGTATGTCCTAAACGCGTTCTGTGTCCATCTTCAATGTGTTGCACGTTGTGTGCACGAGGCTGACTGCTCCCTCAGGACCCCCCGAGAGCTGCTGACCTGGTGGGGGGACCCTCAGGTCTGGGCTTGAGCTGCTGCTCTCCTAGCTGCTGCTCTCCCAGGGATTTACCCTGGGAGCGTTCACGAAAACGGGGTAGCGGGCCAGAGACGGAAAGGAGAACCTGCACGCAGAGGTTCCTGTTTTGCCTCCACAGCCACCTCGGGACGCACGCATCTGCCTGCTCTGACCGCGCCTCCCCGCGCCGGCGCCATCAGGCCGGCTGCAGCGAGCGGCTGTCAGACACTCAGGCGGCCTCCTCTCCGGTAAGTGGCTGTTTTGTGTTTCCTGAGCAGCAATTGCACTTTCTTCTCAGAAGGAGCTGAACCTTAGCGGTAGCCCTTTGGGATGGCGAGGCCTCGATCACAGACCTCGGGCTCCGGGTGGGGGGACCATCAGAGGTCGCCTGGCGGGCGTGCAGTTGCCTTTCTGCAGTGGAGAGTGAACAGAGGAGTGAGGTTTGCTCTTAATAGAAGAGTAAATGGTGATGATAAGCTTTGAAGCTCAGCTCAGTGCAGAAAACCACACACCTGCGGCTTCAGGCAGAGCCCTGACGGCTGTCCTGGGCCTATGGCGAGACTCCTTCCCTGTGTTCCCTCTCAGCCTGAGACAGACTAACATTTAACCTCAAGAAGCCAGGGACGTAGACCTCGCATGAGAGCCGGGCCGTTGTCCGTGCTCGTCACCTCTGTGTAGACCCGGCCTCGGGAACGACCGATGTGGCAGGGGTAGGTCACCTGGTCGGGAGGGTGAGTGGGAGTAAGACTTCCAGGTCCCCTCTGTCACCAGACGGACACCGGGCGGAGCGGTCTGCTGAGGCCGGCCCGGAGGGTGTGGGTTCTTGACCGCGTGCAGGAAAGATTTCACAACGCGAGTCCAGGTGATTGTGAGTGTGTTCATTAGAGCTGGGTCAGAGGCAGGAAGGCTGAGGTAGAGGCAGCAGCAGGAGCGAGCCAGACGGGGCTGTGCTTAGCTCCAGAAAGAGTAGGAAAGAAGTGAGCCACACTGGGCTGCGTGAACTCACTGGGAAGCACAAGTGACAGGGCCAGGAGTGAGCCACACAGGCTGCTGTCAGCTCACGGGTAAGTCAGGAAGGGGGGCCTTGGAGACGGGCTCAGCTGGGGTCAGCTTGGGATGAACTGCTGCTGCCTGCTGCCCCCCAGAGAGCATTACTTGTGGGGACCCTGAGAGCTGAGGAGAAAGTAAACAGCCCATGCCTGAGAAGAGGCCGGTTTGGAGGGTTTTCTCTCTCTGCTGGCGGGAGTCCTAGGGAGGCCTCAGGGGAGGGTCTTACAGAATATTCATTAGTTTCCCAGGCGTGGCCTTCGAAATGTTGATACTTCACGGTGAGCCTGTCGGGAGTTTGGGATTATTCTCTGGTCACTTTCACCGCCTTGCTTTTATCTTGGGTCTGTCTGGCTCTAGTTGTTGTTGTGGTTATTTGTTGCCCTGGCTCCATCTGTCCTTGGGTTTGGCTGGCACAAATGGCGTCAGTTGGGTCTTTGTTATCTGTCTGCCTGACCAGCGTGATCTAAGCTCTGTGCTCTCTGGTTAGGGAGGGGAGGTATGAACCATTTGCTCTCAAGTGGCCTTGGCGAGGGAAGATAGAGTCTCTGTAAAGCGTTCAAATTGTTTGGCCTTGTTTAATGATCTCGTCTCAGTTTCCCCATGGCACTTGCCCAGGAATTTTCCCAGCTTCTTACCCTCCTGCTTCACTGACAGTAGAGGGTTGCCGGCTGCCACCTAGACGGTGTTCAAGAAGCCCGTACCCTATCAGTCTGCATTAAATGGTCTTAATAGGAAAAACGAGGACCTATTTTAAGAGGTTCATGCCTCGTGGTTGTTGTGTGGACTCATATCTAAAGCCGTTGGAGACCCTGAAGGGCACGCAGAACCCAGGCGGACGGCTGTGGAGAAGGGCAGGCTGTGCAGTGCTTTTGCTCAGTGGTTGGTTGTCCTTACGAGGGGCAGGCACTTTGAGACAGCACCTCTCCCGATTTTGTCTTGTAATGAAATATGTGGGGGTCTTACAGTTCGGAGTCTCTTTTCTGAAGATTTTTTTCTGTCATAATTGGGTCAAAGAGGACAATTCCCCTACACGTTTAATGATAGGGAAGTGGATCTTGAGTTACAACTCCCCAGGAGTGATAGATATTTGCCAGTGATTATAACTGCAAGAGCCATGAGCTCAGGTCGGAACATTTAGCCAAGGTAGGAGACAACTTACTCTGTAGAATTATCTCAAAGATATCTGCTGAGGAGATAAATCAGTCCGTGGAGAAGGAACAGGGCAGAAGTTGAGAATTCAAAGGGAGTCTGTTATTATTAAGGTGCATCTGAATGCTTTTCTGGATTTTTAAAGACTGAGATTTATTTCATATACTGTATGTCACTTCATGTCATCAATAAGTTCTTGGAAACTGTGACTATAAAGGAAATGATGTGTACTGAAACCGATCTTGCTATAGATTGATATAATCAAGAGTTACATTCTTACAGGATATTCCTACTCACAAAAGCATCACCTAACGTCTAAATAAAGACCCAAACACTTCTGATAATAAGCATTGAAATAAAAGTGAGTTACACATACGTTTAGGAAAGATTGATAAAAACTAGTAAGATAATTACTTTCCAGATCACTTTCTCTAGTTCAGGGTTGCAGGTGGCTGTGTCTATCGCTGCAGCTCATGGGCAAGGAAGGAACCACCCTGGACAGGACCCCTTCCATCACAGGACCACGCACACCCACACCCACCTACTCAGCACAGGACAGTGGAGCTGTGCCAGTTAACCTAACGAGCCCAGCTTTGGGATGTGGGAGGAAACCGGACTCCCTAGAGGAAACCCGCACAGATATGGGGAGAAGTGCGAACTTCAGACAGTGGCCCTGGCTAGGAATCATTTTTTTTAAATATACACATTTTTATTGATTTCAGAGAGGAAGGGAGAGGGGGAGAGAGAGAGAAACATCAATGATGAGAGAGAATCATTGATCGGCTGCCTCCTGCATGTCCTACACTGGGGATTGAGCCCACAACCCGGGCATGTGCCCTGACTGGAAGTAGAACTGTGGCCTCCTGGTTCATAGGTTGATGCTCAACCATTGAGCAACACTGGACAGGTGGGAATCATTGTTAAAAAAATCATTATAAATGAAATGATGTTGAAAAAAATGAGGTTATTTGAGGGCCGATGTGTATAAATAGTTGACCCCTGAACAACATGAATTTGGACTGTGTGGGTCCACTTATATGTAGTCTTCAAAATAAGTATGTATAGAGCTGTAACTATATTTTCTCATTATTTTTACTAGCACTTTTTAATAACAAACAGTCGATTAATACATACTTTGTATGTTATAAAAATGCTATTAGTAGTTAAGTTTTGGGGGAGTCCAAAGTTATACTTGGATTTTTGAGGGTCTGCACCCTCAACCCACATGTAAAATTGAGAATTTTATTAGTCAGGTATATACTCCTGAATTTATATATACACACATGTGTATTTAGAAATTCCTGAGGCAGACTAAGATGGTGGCAGATTAGGTGGAAGCTATACTCACCTCCTCCCAGCACTAAACTGGAATTACAACTAAATTATAGAGCAGTCATCCTGAATAACCAACTGGAGACTAGCTAGAGAGAAGCCATATAACCAAGGACTTTGAGAAGGAGCCACATTGAGACTGGAAGAAGTGCAGAGGTATGAGAGGGCTGGCGGGCTGTCATAGGCAGCGGCTGAAGTTCTGGAGGGATATCTCAGCTGTGGGGGGTCTAAACGCCAAGCCAGGTTCCCCAGCCTAGAGCCCCAGAACTGGGAAAAGAGCCCACATAGCATCCAGCTATGAAAAGCAATGGGGTCTCTGTCCACTAGGGAGAGACGGTTAGCGACACAGACATCCTCTCTAAAGGGCCAATGCCCCAAATTTTGTCTGTAGTCACTTACCCTGGGCTCTGGCGGAGGGAGGGCAGAGTGGACGAGAGCTTCATGAGGAGAGTCTGAGGCTGGTGGCTCTGGGGAGAGAGGTAAGGGCTCAGCCACCAGGATCCCTGTGCTGAGTCATTCCTTTATATTGTAGAAGCCATCTTTCTTGGGCAGTGAAGTCTGGCCCATACATATAGCCTGTGGGGCAGCAATAGCCCCACCTACTGCAATGCCCCCCCCCCCCCCATGGAGCTTATGCCCTGCTGAGGAGTACAACGAGAGGCTCTAAGTCTAACTGGAGCCTGCAGGCGGAGGCAGATCTCTGTGAGCTTTGAAACACTGGCTGACCTGCCCCCCCCGGCCTGGTGCTGCCGAAAGCCAGCCTGGTATGCAGCTTAGTGCTTTCCACATGCAACCAGGCCCAGCAGAGAGAGCCATAAGCTGTGTATCACTGGTAGCTTCAAACAGGCTGCCCAGGGCCAGTCACAGGCAGTGTCTGAAATTGGCTTGCACTGGAGTCTCTCTGAAAAGGCCCAGAGTCAATACACCTGCTGGTTCAGACAACAACAGAACAGGGATCCAGTAAGCGCCACAAGCAGCATATCTGCAGGGAAATCTCAGCAGGCACCACCCTGCTGAGGGAATTCTGCTTCGTGTGATCAGCACCTGCACAGCAGCTTGCACACCACGGGCAGGGTTGAGCATCACAGTCAGCCAGAGGGTCGATCCCATGCACGAATGGGCCAATAGCAATCAAGAGTCAATTATAAGAGGAGGGCCCACATTACATACACAAGGGGGATTCCAGAGCACCCAGCTCAGATGATCAGGGACACTGTGCCACTGGGTCCCACAAGACACCTACTATGTAAGGCCACCCTAACAAGACTGGGAGTAATAGCAGATCTATCTCATACACAGAAACAAACACAAAGAGGCAGCCCAAATGGGGAGACAAGGGAGCAGACCCCAAATGAAAGAACGAGCGGATTGTCCAGAAGAAGAGCTAAATGAAATGGACCCAAGCAATTTATCGGCTAAAGAGTTCAAAGTAATGATTATCAGGATGATCAACAGCATGAAAAGGACCAGTCAGAAATGAAGAATGCAATATCCAAAATCAAGAATACACTGGAAGGAAACAACAGTAGGTTGGATGAAGTGGAGGATCAATCAGTGATCTAGCAGACGAGGTAGGGAAAAACACCCAATCCGAGGAGTAAAAAGAAAAGAGAACTTTAAAAAAATGAGCGTAGTTTAAGGGACCTTTGGGACATGAAGTATAACAACATTCACAACATAGGGATACCAGAAGGAGAAGAGAGAGAACAAGGGATTAACAACCTATTTAAAGAAATAATGACTGAAAACTTCCCTAACCTGGTGAAGGAAAAGACACACAAGTCCAAGAAGCTCAGAGAGTCCCAAACAAGAGAGACTCAAAGAGGCTCACACCAAGACACAGCATAATTAAAATGCCAAAGGTTAAAGATAAAGAGAAATCTCAAGCCACAAGAGAAAGGCAGTTAGTTACCTACAAGGGAGCTCCCATAAGACTGTCAGTTGATTTCTCAACAGGAACATTTCATGCCAGAAGGGATTGGCATTACATATTCAACACATTGAAAAGCAAGGACCTACAACCAAGGCTACTTCATTCAGCAAGGCTATCATTTAAAATTAAGAGAGAAATGTTTTCCCAGACAAGAAAAACTAAAGGAGTTTGTTACCACCACACCAGTATACAAGAAATGTTAAAGGGCTTGCTTTAAGAAGAAGAAGGAGGAGGAGGGAGAGAAGGAAAGAAGAGGAAGGAGGCAGGAAGAGAAAGAAGAAGAGGAAAAAGAAAAAAACCCAGGAACACAGTTAAAAAATAAAATAATAGTAAATATGTACCTACCAATAATTACTTTAAATGTTTTGATCAAAAGACATAGGATAGCTGAATGGATAAGAAAACAAGACTCATATATATGCTGTCTTTAAGAGACCCACCTGAGAGCGAAAGAAAGACACAGACTAAATATAAAAGGATGGAAAAAGACATTTCATGCAAATGGAAAGGAAAAAGAAAAGCTGGGGTAGCAATACTTATATCTGACAAAATAGACTTTAAAAGCAAGCCTATAGTAAGAGACAAAGAAGGCCACTACATAATGATAAAGGGAGCAATCCAACAGGAAGATATAACCCTTGTAAACATTTATGCACCCAACATAGTAGCACCTAAATATGTAAACCAAATCTTGATGACATAAAGGGACAGATTGACAGTAATACAGTCATAATAGCGATTTTAACACCCCATTAGCATCAATGGATAGATCTTCCAGACATAAAATCAACAACGAGATGGCAGCCTTAAATGACACATTAGATCTAATGGATTTAAATGATATCTTCAAAGCATTTCACCCCAAAGCAGCAGGATATACATTTTTTCAAGTGCACATGTAACATTTTCTAGGATAGACCACATGTTAGGACACATAAAAGTCTCAACATATTTGAGAAAATTGAAATCATATCAAGCATCTTCTCTGACTATAATGTTGTGAAACTAAAAATCAATCACAAGAAGAAAACTGAAAAACACACAAAGACATGGAGGCTAAATAACATTTTACTAAACAGTGAATGGGTTAACAATGAGATCAAGGAAGAAATCAAAAGATACCTTGAAACAAAGGAAAATGAGAACACAACAACCCAAAATCTGTGGGACACAGGAAGAGCAGCCTTAAGAGGGAAATTCATAGCATTACAGGCCTATCTCAAGAAACAAGAAAGAGCTCAAATAAGCAATCTAACTTGACAATTACGGGACCTTGAAAAAGAATAATGAACAATTCCCAAAGTGAGCAGAAGGAAGGAAAAGGTCAGAGCAGAATAAACAAAACAGTCTAAAAAAACAATGTAAAAAGATCAATGAGACCAAGAGCAGGTTCTTTGAAGCGATAAACAAGATTGACAAACCTTTAATCAGACTCACCAAGAAAAAAGAGAGAGGACCCAAATAAATAAAATCAGAAATGAAAGACAAGTAAGAACTGACACCAAAGAAATACAAAAGATGGTAAGAAAATATTATGAGCAGCTATATGCCCACAAATTGGACAATTTGGACGAAATGGATAAAATCCTAGAAACATACAGTCTTCCAAAATGAATCAGGAAGAGCCAGATAATCTGAATAGACAGATTACAACTACTGAAATGAAACAGTAATAATAATAAAAAAAACTCCCAACAAACAAAAGTCCTGGACCACTGGCTTTCATAGATGAATTTTACCAAACATTCTAAGAATAACACATATCCTTCTCAAGCTATTCCAAATAATTCAAGAGGAGGGAAGACTCCCAAGCTCATTTACAAGGCCAGCATTATACTAATTCTAAAACCAGGTAAAGACACTACAAAAAATTAAAATTATAGGCCAATATCTGAAGAACATAGATGCTAAAATCCTTAACAAATTATTCACAAACCGAGTCCAGCAATACATTAAAAAGATCATACACCATGATCAAGTGGGATTTACTCTGGGGATGCAAGGTTGGTACAATATCTGCAAATCAATAAATGTGATATACCACATAAACAAAATGCAGAATAAAAACCACATGATCATATCTATAGATGCAGAAAAAGCATTTGATAAAATCCAGCACCCATTTATGATAAAAACTCTCAGAAAAGTGGGAATAGAGGGAACATACCTCAATAATAAAGGCCATATATGACAAACCCATAGTCAACGTCATTCTCAATGGGCAGAAACGACAAGTGTTCCCCTTAAGATCAGGAACAAGACAGTGATGCCCACTTTGACCACTCTCACTCAACATGGTACTGGAAGTCCTAGCCACAGCGATCAGACAAGAAGATGAAATAAAAGGCATCCAAATTGGAAAGGAAGAATAATAAAACTGTCATTATTTGCAGATGACATGATACTGTACATAGAGAACCCTAAAGATGCCACCAAAAAACTACTAAAATTGATCAATGAATTCTGTAAAGTAGCAGGATACAAAAGAAATATCCAGAAATCATTTTGTATACACCAATAATGAATCATTAGAAAGGGAAACTAAGAAAACAATTCCATTTACAGTGCTTAAAAAAAGAATAAAATACCTAGGAATGAAATTTAACCAAGGATGTGTAAGTCCTGTACTTGGGAAATAATAAGACACTGAAAAAAGAAATTGAAGAAGATACAAATATGCGGAAACATATACCCGTTCATGGACAGGAAGAATTAACATCATTAAAATGTCCGCACCACCCAAGGCAGCCTACAGGCTCAATGCAATTCCTGTCAAGACACCAGGGTGTATGTCACAAATATTCCACAAATTTATACAAAACCACAAAAGACCCCAAATAGCAACAGTGATCTTGAGAAAGAAGAACAAAATTGAAGGAATCACGCTACCTAATATCAAACTGTACTGCAATGTCAAAGTAAATAAAACAGCTTGGCATTGGCATAAAAACAGACACACAGACCAATGGAACAGAATACAGAGCCCGGAAATAAGCCCACATCTTCACAGTCAATAAATATTTTACAACGGAGGCAAAAACCCAAGTGGGAATCGACAGTCTACCAGCCGTGGGCAAACTATGGCCCTCGGGCCGGATCCGGGCCGTTTGAAATGAATAAAACTGAAAAAAAAAAAGAAAAGACCGTACCCTTTTATGTAATGATGTTTACTTTGAATTTATATTAGTTCACACAAACACTCCGTCCATGCTTTTGTTCCGGC